ATTTCAGTACTTTTAAGCTGCCAATAGCATGCAGCAGAAAGCTGCAAATTTCAGTTTTCTTTTTTTGCTCATTACCTTTGTAGTGTGAGTATTCATCAGTTTTCATTACAGAAAACTTGTAGAATTTTCTCTTTGTTGCATCTCGTATTTCAAAAGGATCCTTTTTTTTAGCTTTTGTGAAAGTCAGCAGTTATTGCTTACAAATTGCACAGCAATTTTGTAGTGTGTCTCCATTACTTAGAAAATTGTTTTTAACAGGGTTAGTGGTTCAGTTGGAAAATGCTTGAAAAATGAGATTTAAGCACTTCATCAAGCACAGCAAACAAACGGTATAAAATTTTGCTATTTGAAAATTGATTAAATGTACCAATATCAATTGATTTTTTTTTTTCAAATACAGATACCTCACTTAAAGGAAAGCACAGCTGTACTGTATTTAAACTAATTCTAGGAAATAATAAAAAGTTGGTCTAAAATGTTTTGTTGCCATTATGTTGCTTTCTGTGATTGACAAAATCTGTTTTTGTGTTTTCGTATCACTCTTGGAAGTATTTATTGACATTGACATGCCAGTATAATTATCTTAATAAATTAACAGAAAGTAGCTGCAAAACAACAGAGCCTGTGTTAGCACAAGGCAACCGGTTGCATGACTATTCTGAAACCGGAGTGAAAGCCTGTGAAAAGTGATCAGTGCGTTCAACCATTTTTAATACTTTGCCAATGATGTACAGTCTTATTGTTGGAGTTGCTGTGGTTGCATTACATGACACACAAAACTGTCCTCTACCTCACGTGAGATTTAACGGATATTTTATATGGTTTTAGTAAACAAGATGCATCTATCTGGTCACTTAGTTTACAAATTTTGAATTCTATTTATTGAAACATGACATAACTGTGCTCTTAGCTTATACCTCAATTGTATTTTGTGCTGTTGTCCATTTCCATGCCTTGTAAATACCTGTATAGACTGTGGATTCAAAAACAAATAAAGAACTGTAATGTCAGAACACTTGTCTGTAACGTTTTTGAACACTGACTTCTCAACTTGACTTTTTGGAAGGTGTTTAGCAATGCTGCTTTTCTAAGGAGGACAGAGTCTTCCTTGCTTTGATTACAGTAAATTAAAACCTGATTACACTGAAACTTGTTAGCAGAACTCCCACTGCCCGCAGCAGGTCCCTCGTTCTCTAAAGGGCATTTTTAGCAAAATCTGCAACATCAATAGCCCTCCCTCATCACGAGTCCATTTTCTAATGCTTTTACAGCTCTGTGAAGATATTACTGACACTAAGATTTCTGTGTATCTTGACATAAAGTTGGTGTTTATATGTGTAAAGACAACCACTTGTGTATCTGGCATGTTCTCTGGTGCACAGCTTTTGTTGCTAGTTGACTACTTGAGCAGTGTTTGAGTTGTTTACGCCTCTCCTTAATAGCTTAGTAAAGAACAAGATAAAAGTCACGCATCACCATATAAAATGCTGAGATTTATAGGAAGTTAAAATAAAAAATGAGAATTATACTTCATTTGCTGATGGAAAATGTCCTAGTGTGGCTCTTGGGAGTTCTTCATTTCTGTAAATCGCATTATTAATGTTGCTTGATATTTTTGGCTACCATCAGGGAGCTTAAATAGCACAAAATCCGGAGTAGAAGAGAGAGGAAGGAGGCAAGAAGAAAAGAGGGAGCTGTTCCTCTAAGCTGTATGTGAATGGGTCTTGTGTTTACGTTGAGCTTTCACCACTTAAAACAACAGGCTATGTTCTATTGGTCACTTTTTAAAAAAATCAGTTTCTAGTAAAAAATAACAACTTTTACTACGCATAATATTTTTGAGATTTTCTAGGTGATTTTGTTCATACTGAGGGTTTTTTGGACAGATGAGCAAGCGCAGTCACATACCCACATTAGGTAGATCTTTTTCCTTCCCCTTAAACCAGAGCAAAAATGCTTTGTCCTTGTTTTCAGGTATTGGTCTTGCGTATAGGAAATCCCGATTATGTTCCCGCTTACTGCAAACTCAATGCTACCATGTACTTGCATGTATTTTACAGCTGAAGAGCAGTATGAACCAGGGTGAAGATAAAATTGGTAATATTTTGCTGACCTCAGCCTTTAGTATGGAACAAAAATGAACAAGGAGCTGTAGCAGTTAAAGAGTTAACCTTGTGTACTTCTGCAGCCCATATTATATTTTTATACTGCTGTATTTCCAAGCGAGGGAGAAGCTATCGGGCTGAAAACCCTGCAAAGAAAACGTTCAAGGTGAGTCATTTGTATGAGAAAAAGTCATAGGGTGTTGATAGCTTAAGTATGACTAGTTGCAACGCTTGTCATTTGTCAGAGAAACAATGCTGATCAAGGAAAAACTGCTTGAGTGGCAAGGGGAAAAGATTTTTAAGGCATTCACACTGTTGCTGAAAGTAGTGCTTGTGTAGCACTTGCTTTAAAAATGGCAGATTTAAAGAATATCGCCCTAAGCCTATCAGTTTGTTCAGCATATAGCTGGGAAGTCATTCCTCGTTCTTCCTCTATTGGTCTTGTGAGTCATTGTTCATTTGTAGCATGCTAACTTACACTCACTGGTGGTGTTACTTATACCACTGACAAAATAGTATAGGTTAATTACTGGAATAAGTCAAACTGTGCCCTGTGGGCACCAGATCGAGTACAGTTGACTAGTACTAGTTACTGAAGCGTAAAATTTACTCCTTGCCTGTTGAGCTGCTGCGTGCTCTTTGACAAATACATTTGTGAAGGAAGACGTGGCAGTGTAAGGAGCTTCTGTAGGATATGTCCACAGCCTGTGAATTCGTATCTCGCAGCGTTTAAAAACGTCTTTTTTTGTGCATTAGGATGCATCTATCACCATGTAAACTGCTTCTAATCTCAACTTTGCGATGAAATGGGGTATCAAGATGTTGCAAAATGTTCTGGTGTTTTGAAGAAAAATGAAATACTTTGAAGTATGCTAAATATCTAAGCATTAGCGTGATTTAGAGAATCTGCATGGTTTTCAAACTCCGAAGGACTGTGTGGTGACAGTACCATTAGACGACAGAGGTTGGGATTAGTCATCCCAAAGTGGTTAAGCATCTTTATGCCTGGTGTTAATAAAAAAAGCAGCATTAAGCTGTGTGCATTTATACTTGATACAAACAGATCAGATGTTTAATTTACAGAATGATTTAAAGTTAGGTGGATGAAATGCTAGACTGAAGAAATGCAAACTGAGTCAGCGAAAGGGAGAGGCAGGAACATGTTCATTTGTCATCTCTTCTTCCAAATTCGGGAGGTGAGGCATCATCTGACCAATACCGTTGCGCGGTCCAAGAAGTGGAACAACACTAGGTTCACTCGTGAGATGACAAGGGTATCTCCTGAATAATAAATAAGCAGGAATATTGATTGGGGAAAGATTAAATCCATCTAGAATCGAATCCTAGACAACATGAAAATGGTGTTGGATGTAAGTAACAGCATGCTCCAGCTGAAGCAGATGCAGTAGAAGAATAAGCTACGTAGAAAGGTGGAATCACATTGGGAAGGGTAATGGGAGGCCAGCTGGCAGAATGACTTCACAAAAATACCATAAACCAGGTGTTGAAAAAAACCAAGGAATAACCAACAATATAAAACAAATGTGAAAACAACTATTAAGTTACTATTTATTATGAAACCTCCTCTTCGAAGATAATTTTCAACTATTATGCAGTAACTCTGATGAAGCTCTGACAAAACAAAACTGTGGCCTCATGTCCTTGAATTTTGAATTTAAGGAATACGTGACCAATGAAGCTTGGGATGGTCTTTTCACTTTATTTGCTAAAGAATGGGGAAGAATACCGTTGGATGAAGAGCAGGATATATTTCATTCCCGGCACCTTAACCTTGGAGTTATTTCTCTAGGGGATGGATCAAATTCATTGCTCTGTCGTTTTCTCGCCCAGTTTTTCCTTCCCCCGTGCCATGCGGACAGCTCTCCACTAGTGGTCTCTCCAGGCATGCTCTATCTGCCCAGACCCAAACCTTCTCTTCGCAAAATCAGCAGCACTGGAGGACGCACAATGGTGAAATTTCATTAGGGATGTGTTGGCACCCGATAACATATATATATGTTTGTGAAAATGCAAAGTAAAGTTAGGAAAGAGGTTGCCTGCCTATTTCTCCCGATGCAGAATGGGCTGTGAAGTTTCTGTTCTTTCGGCATTTTGCAGTGGGCTCTTCCTTGTTCTATCAAGTAGACTACAGTTTACACCCGTAATGAGTCTGAGTAAAAAGCTGCTCATTTTAATTTTAGCACTTAAAAGTTGAAATAAGGTGCTGTTAAACACGTGTTTAAGACTCTGAAAACCCAGGCACAAGCAGAGAATGGAGTGATGGGTGTCTCATGTTTTTGCAGTTACTGAAAACAGCAGGAAAGACCCAAGACTGATTTTGTCCTTTTACTGCAGCCATGCTGACAGCTTTGAGGAGATGATCAATTCCACCTCTTGAGTAACTCCGTCCACCACATTTCTTGCCCTATCTTTCCGTGCAGAGGTACCAGTGTGATCATTTGTCTTCAGCTTAAAAACACTGCCTTCGTTTTTCTCCCTTGATGCTAAATCCGGAAGAGTCAGGCTGTTTGCATTTGAATAAAGCAGTCTGGTTTGTTTTTCGAGCACGGGTGGGTGTAATTCTGTGTCTCCTCCTCTCCACACCCTCCTTCTCCTCCGACTCTCTTGATGAAGCGGCAGAAGTTGGGGCTCCCCGCTCGCTCCTCCCATGCGTTATGGGGCTGGAGGCAGCTCTGACCCCTCCCAGGGAGGGAGCTGGGCAGAGGCAGCCGCGCTCCCGCAGCAGCACTCGGGGACCTCTTCCCACCAAAGCCCCGTCCATCCTGCTCGCAGCAGGTCCCAGCGGCCGGCACCCGCAGCAGGGAGCTCAGCGGCCGGCGTTGCTGAACCCCTGCGGGCGTGCTCCTCTCCAGCTTGTCCCACCAAGGGGTCGACATGGTGGCCACCTGCCTGCACCTGGCCGGATTTGTCTGCGGTTTTATAGGGTGGATCGGGGTGATTGTGGCAACGTCCACCAACGACTGGGTGGTGACTTGCGGCTACACCATTACCACCTGCAGGAAGATGGATGAGCTGGGCTCCAAGGGGCTGTGGGCAGACTGTGTCATGGCGACAGGTCTCTATCACTGCAAGCCCCTCGTGGACATCCTCATACTGCCAGGTACGTGTGCCCCGTCCTCCCCCTTCCCGGCCGGAGGTGGGGAACGAAGCTTTGCTCTGAGCGGGGCAGGTCCTGCGGCAGGATGACTTGATGGCGGAGCTCCTTCAGCTTCATCGGCGCGGGAGAATACGCTAAAGAATGTGAATGATAGCTTTGAACATGATTCTCATTAAATTATACCTGGGTTTAATCTTACACAGGTATCATGTGTTATCTGTGACTATTAAAGTCCAGTTAACGTTTAACCATTGCTCTTAGTAAGCGCTCACTGTTCCTTTCACATCTTGTATCTAGATCGCATTGCAAAACATTGAGGTGTGAGAGAGTACTTTGAGATAGAGTATTTTGAATTTTGCTTTGAGATGATGATGAACTGTTACAAATGTTAAGGTTCTATTCCTTAAAATGATTTTGAGTATAATGAACCTTTCAGCATCTGTTATTAATGCTGCTGTGGCTTTTAATCTTTTGGAAGATTGCCGTTAGTCTTGATGGTCTTGTGCTTCCTACATGTTCTAAGGCAAGACAGAACTCTTACATGGCAAACAGTTGTAACTACCTTTAACTTGTCTTGATATTTTCTAACTATATAGTAATTTTCATTGTTTACTGCAAAGCAAAAATGAAGCGAGGTGTTTCATCAGTATTAATACATCTTTTGACCTAATTAAACCTGAAAAAGTCTTGTGTGGTCTTGTCCTTGTAAGTTAGTTAATGATTTTCCCTGTTTCAGTCCCTGTTGGGGGATTAGATTGATCTGCAATGTTTCAGACTGCGCCTCTTCTAGCACGTCAGAGATGCCTCTTCCCAAGCTGGCAGGGTAGAAATAACCATTGCTTGTTGTTTTCTTTCATGCTTCCTTATTTATTTGTTTAAAAGTGTTGTGAAAATAATTTCACAAGAGGTTAGCAAGATCATTCCCGAATTTCTCTCTGTTACAGAGCCTAGTCTCTATCACATAGTGCTTAGTGATATTGAAGCTCCCAGACTAGCTCCTATTCTCCCTTTCTCTGTGTATGCATACATTTATTTTAGTAGGTTTACCTTCCTTATTGCTACTATTGTTCAATATGATCTGGCACAGAAGGCAGAGAAAAGGCTTGCCCTCAGGAAACATTATTGAATGATATTTATTAAAAAGGTAGATAGGTCTTTCAGCAGCAGAAAGCAATGCTTCTCTCCAGCAGAAACAAATCACAAAACAAGGTGCTGCTGCTTGTAACTTATTTGATCCCCACAGCTTTCCATGAGAGGGAAATTTATCCTGGTGTGCCTGATAGCTGAAATGTATTTAAAGTCCTTCATTGCCCGAGTCAAGTCTTTAAAACGAATTTGTTTGTATTCTCATTTAATTGGGACTGATTGCACAGAAACCACTCTGGGTGCTGCCATCTCCTTTGTTTAGGGTCTCATTTTTTGCCCTGAACTCCTCAGGTAACCTTTTTTTGTTAAGTTTCCTCTTGAAAAAAAATCGAGCAAATATTCAGTATACACAGAGCCTGCATTTCCAGGAACAGTAAAATCCCCATTGCTGCTAAGAACCTGTATGTCAGTGGGACTTGCCGGAGTCCCCTTTTTGCTGACATTGTTTGAGACATCACAGAACTCCGTGTCTGCATGTGGTAGTTTCATTTTGTTATAAGAGGGGAAAGAGAGCCAGCGTATTCGCTCCGCTGAGCCTGTCCCGAGAGCCGGAGGAGACTCACCAGGCACTGGAGCAAATCTGGCACTTTTTTTCCTTTTGCATGCAAATTATGACCTGGTTTTATTCATATAGATATATAATTTTAAATAATTATATAAA